CAATTTGACTTCCTCTTTTCCTAATTGAATACCCTTTATTTCTTTCACTTCCCTGATTGCCCTGGCCAGAACTTCCAACACTATGTTGAATAGGAGTGGTGAGTGAGGGCATCCCTGTCTTGTGGCAGTTTTCAAAGGGAATGCTTCCAGTTTTTGCCAATTCAGAATGATATTGGCTGTGGGTTTGTCATAAATAGCTCTTATTATTTTGAGATACGTTCCATCAATACTTAGTTTATTGTGAGTTTTTAGCATGAAGGGAATGTTGAATTTTATTGAAGGCTTTTTCTCCATCTGTTGAGATAATCATGTGGTTTTTGTCTTTGGTTCTGTTTATATGATGGATTACATTTATTGATTTGTGTATGTTGAACCAGTCTTGCATCCCAGGGATGAAGCCAACTTGTTCTTGGTGGATAAGTTTTTTGATGTGCTGCTGAATTCGGTTTACCAGTATTTTATTGAGGATTTTTGCATCGATGTTCATCAGGGACATTGGTCTAAAATTCCCTTTTTTTGTTGTTGTGTTTCTGCCAGACTTTGGTATCAGAATGATGCTCACCTCATAAAATGAGTTAGGGAGGATTCTCTCTTTTTCTATTGATTGGAATAGTTTCAGAAGGAATGGTACCAGCTCCTCTTTGTACCTCTGATAGAATTCGGCTGTGAATTCGTCTGGTCCTGGACTTTTTTTGGTTGGTAGGCTATTAATTATTGCCTCAATTTCAGAGCCTGTTATCGGTCTAGTCAGGGATCCAACTTCTTCCTGATTTAGTCTTGGGAATATGTGTCCATGAATTTATCCATTTCTTCTAGATTTTCTAGTTTATTTGCGTAGAGGTGTTTATAGTATTCTCTGATGGTAGTTTGTATTCTGTGATAGTAGTTTGTATTTCTGTGGGGTCTGTGGTGATTTCCCCTTTGTCATTTTTTATCATGTCTATTTGTTTCTTCTCTCTTTTCTTCTTTATTAGTCTTGCTAGTGGTCTATCTATTTGTTGATCTTTTCAAAAAACCAGCTCCTGGATTCATTGATTTTTTTGAGGAGTTTTTCTTGTCTCTGTCTCCTTCAGTTCTGCTCTATTTTAGTTATTTCTTGCCTTCTGCTAGCTTTTGAATTTGTTTGCTCTTGCTTCTCTAGTTCTTTCAATTGTGATGTTAGGGTGTCAATTTTGATCTCTCCTGCTTTCTCTTGTGGGCATTTAGTGCCATAAATTTCCCTCTACACACTGCTTTAAATGTGTCCCAGAGATTCTGGTGTGTTGTGTCTTTGTTCTCATTGGTTTCAAATAACATCTTTATTTCTGCCTTCATTTTGTTATTTATCCAGTAGTCATTCAGGAGCAGGTTGTTCAGTTTCCATGTAGTTATGCGGTTTTGAGTGAATTTCTTAATCCTGAGTGCTAATTTGATTGCACTGTGGTCTGAGAGACAGTTTATTGAGATTTCTGTTCTTTTACATTTGCTGAGGAGTGGTTTACTTCCAACTATGTGGCCAATTTTGGAATAAGTGCAATGTGGTGCTGAGAAGAATATATATTCTGTTGATTTGGGGTGGAGAGCTCTGTAGATGTCTATTAGGTCTGCTTGATGCAGAGCTGAGTTCAAGTCCTCGATATCCTTATTAACCTTCTGTCTTGTTGATCTGTCTCATATTGACAGTGGGGTGTTAAAGTCTCCCATTATTATTGTGTGGGAGTCTAAGTCTCTTTGTAGGTTTCTAAGGATTTGCTTTATGTATCTGGGTGCTCCTGTATTGAGTGCATATATATTTAGGATAGTTAGCTCTTCTTGTTGAATTGATCCCTTTACCATTATGTATTGGCCTTCTTTGTGTCTTTTGATCTTTGTTGCTTTAAAGTCTGTTTTATCAGAGACTCCCCTTCCTTTTTTTTTTCTTTCCATTTGCTTGGTAGATCTTCTCCATCCCTTTATTGTGAACTTGCATGTGTCTCTGCATGTGAGATGGGTGTCCTGAATACAACACACTGATGACTCCTGAGTCTTTATTCAGTGGGCCAGTCTGTGTCTTTTAATTGGGACATTTATCCTATTTACATTTAAGGTTAATATTGTTATGTGTGAATTTGATCCTGTCATTATGATGTTAGCTGGTTAGTTTGCCCATTAGTTGATGCAGTTCCTTCCTAGCATCGATGGTCTTTACAATTTGGCATGTTTTTGCAGTGGCTGGTACTGATTGTTCCTTTCCATGTTTAGTGCTTCCTTCAGGAGCTCTTGTAGGGCAGGCCTGGTGGTGACAAAATCTCTCACCTTTTGCTTGTCTGTGAAAGATTTTATTTCTTCTTCATTTATGAAGCTTAGTTTGGCTAGATATGAAATTCTGGGTTGAAAATTCTTTTCTTTAAGAACGTTGAATATTGGCCCCCAGTCTCTTCTGACTTGCAGGGTTTCTGCCAAGAGATCCGTGTTAGTCTGATAGGCTTCCCTTTGTGGATAACCCGACCTTTCTCTCTGGCTGCCCTTAGCATTTTTTCTTTCATTTTAACCTTGGTGAATCTGACAATTAGGTGTCTTGGGGCTGCTCTTCTTGAGGAGTATCTTTGTGGTGTTCTCTGTATTTCCTGAATATGAATATTGGCCTGCCTTGCTAGCTTGGGGAAGTTCTCCTGGATAATATCCTGAAGAGTGTTTTCCAGCTTGGTTCCATTCTCCCCATCACTTTGAGGGCCACCAATCAAACATAGATTTGGTCTTTTCACATAGTCCCATATTTCTTGGAGCCTTTGTTCATTTCTTTTTACTCTTTTTTCTCTAAACTTCTCTTCTCATTTCATTTCATTAATTTGATCTTCAATCGCTGATACCCTTTCTTCCACTTGATCAAATCAGCTACTGAAGCTTGTGCATACGTCACATAGTTTTCATGCCATGGTTTTCAGCTCCATCAGGTCATTTAAGGTCTTCTCTATGCTATTTATTCTAGTTAGCCATTCGTCTCATCTTTTTTCAAGGTTTTTAGCTTCCTTGCAGTGGGTTTGAACATCCTCCTTTAGCTTGGAGAAGTTCGTTATTACTGAAGCCTACTTCTATCAACTCGTCAAAGTCATTCTCCATCCAGCTTTGTTCCATTGCTGATGAGAAGCTGTGATCCTTTGGAGGAGAAGAAGTGCTCTGGTTTTTCAAATTTTCAGCTTTTCTTCTCTGGTTTCTGCCCATCTTTGCGGTTTTATCTACCTTTGGTCTTTGATGATGGTGACCTACAGATGGGGTTTTGGTGTGGATGTCCTTTTTGTTTATGTTGATGCTATTCCTTTCAGTTTGTTAGTTTTCCTTCTAATAGTCAGGTTCCTCAGCTGCAGGTCTGTTGGAGTTTACTGGAGGTCCACTCCAGACCCTCTTTGCCTGGGTATCACCAGCAGAGGCTGCAAAACAGCAAATATTGCAGCCTGATCCTTCCTCCGGAAGCTTCGTCTGAGAGGGGTATCCGGCTGTATGAGGCGTCAGTCGGCCCATACTGGGAGGTGTCTCCCAGTTAGGCTACATGGGGGTCAGGGACCCACTTAAGGAAACAGTCTGTCCATTCTCAGAGCTCAAACACTGTGCTGGGAGAACCACTGCTCTCTTCAGAGCTGTAAGACAGGGATGTTTAAGTCTGCAGAAATTTCTGCTCCCTTTTGTTCAGCTATGCCCTGCCTCCAGAAGTGGAGTCTATAGAGGCAAGCAGGCCTCATTGAGCTGCAGTGGGCTCCACCCAGTTCGAGCTTTCAGCCGCTTTGTTTACCTACTCAAGCCTCAGCAATGGCAGGCGCCCCTCCCTCAGCCAGGCTGCAGTCTCACAGGCTGATCTTGGACTGCTGCACTAGCAGGGAGCAAGGCTCCATGGGCGTGGGACCTTCTGAGTTTGGCATGGGATATAATCTCCTGGTGTGCTGTTTGCTGAGACCATTGGAAAAGTGTAGTATTTAGGTGGCAGTGTCCCAGTTTTCCTGGTACAATCTGTCACGGCTTCCCTTGCCTAGGAAAGGGAAATCCCCTGACCCCTTGTGCTTCCCAGGTGAAGCAATGCCCCACCCTGTTCAGCTCACCCTCCATGGGCTACACCCACTGTCCAACCAGTCCCAGTGAGATGAACCAGGTATCTCAGTTGGAAATGCAGAAATCACCCATCTTCTGCATCAATCACACTGGGAGCTGCAGACCAGAGCTGTTCCTATTCGGCCATCCAGGAAATTTTCTATTTACATAGACTGTTTTTACAAAATAAGTTCTTACTGTATGGACTGTTTGGTAACTAACTTATTTTTTACTTAACACTATGTTGCAAATTTATTTCCAAATCAATACATACAGATCAACATCATGATTTTTAAGACATACTATTTTATTTTATTGATATGCCATAATTTATTTAACCAGTCCTTTATTGATGAACAGTCACATTAGTTATGATATTTGGCTATTCTCCAGAATATATCCTCTTATATATCTATTATTATTCTATCCCTCAGAATTTATCATTTTATATACATATATATAATTTTATAGACTAAACTAGTTCTCCAGAATATATCCTTTTATCTATCTATCTATCTATCTATCTATCTATCTATCAATCAATCATCAATATCACCTGATTATTTCCTTTATATAAATCCTAGAAATGACAATGCTGGTGATATATAATTCTTTATTGTCAAATCTTAATTTGTATAATAACCTCTTAGAAGAAGTTAGCAAAATACAAAAACAAATAAGAATCCATGTTCTTGACCTGCTTTTGTTTCTATAAAACCTTCTTTAGAGCAGTGGTCTTCACATCTACTTGGCTTTAGTATAGCCCATGTGGTGGTTGAACACTTGTTCTTCTTGTTCTCCAGCATGGCCCAAATGGTCAACTTCTGATTTCCCACTTATTATAGTCTAGCAATTAAAACCCTTGGAGACAGGACCAGCTAATTGAACCAGGCATTTTAAGTTCTGGCTCAAATGCATGCTCATTCACTTTTTGTATAAAATGCCTGCATTGTATTTTTCAGATGTATCTCAATTTTTTTTGTGGAGTTCCAGACATACTTCACTCAGGATTACGCACAAACGGCATGGATCCATTCCATTGTAGATTGTGTAACCATGCTCTGTGGTGAGTATCACTTGCTAGGATAGGGAATTACTGGCCACTGTTGAACTGCATATGACAATGACGTTCCACTGACTTTGATTACCAGTTTTTCCAAGTAGAAGGGCTACATTAAAAACTGGCCAGGACTATATAATATAAAGAAAAGATCAATCCTACCTTCAGCCAAAACCAACCAGACTTGCTCTTGTAATTAATGGTCTTCACTGATGTCAGGTAGAACAGTTAGATAATACACTCAAAAGAACCCATAAGATTTGGTTCTTCCATATAGTGATAGGATGCTGAACATTCTAGAACCTGTACTGATTTTGGAAGCAATTTACAGTATATGCTTGGCTTCTCTCTTCCAAATGCTATGGCCTTCTCATTGTCCAGTTATGTAAATGGTTATCGATAGTACCATGAGCCATTTCTATACAGTAATGAGTGCCAACAGTGTTGTATCACATCTCAAGTCTTGGATTGCATTCTGTTCCTTTCCCAAGGACTTGACATTTGGCTCATGGATTTCATCTTTATCATGTATAAATCTTCATGCTTACAGAAGTATTGGGGAAGGATAGGATTATGTCGTCATGAGATAAACATATTCATTATGGGTGTAATTTCATTCAAGAAACTCCAAACATGTTATATAAGGTATATAGGGTGTTCTAGAAATGTATGGAATTAACATTCCATCTGTGTAGTAGAGTACAACAGACCTGGCATTTGTTTAAAATAAATTTCACACTCACATTATTAAACTGATGTCTTAGAGAGTTTCTAAGATTAAATCAAATTGTTTTTAGCTTAGACCCACTGAATCCATTCATTTAAATGAGTTCTGAGTATTTTAGGAAATGTTCATCTCTTCAAGCCATGTCTTAGTGGCAAAAGGGAAATAATACCTGTATTCAGTAACTCATAGTACCATTTTATTCCATTCTAGGTACTGACTCATACTTCTTTTTGGAAAAAAATACACATACTCAGGAATCAGTTAAATTGTAACTGAAATGTATAATATTTGTTTAGTTGGGGGAAGCTGAGAGCAGTTCTAAGACTAAAAGCAGATTTCATGAGAAGGCTAAATCAACTCTACTCTTTCAACTAATAAGAAGGTCTTAAGGGATCAAAAAATCATATATTTGAGTTTTAGAGCCTGTCTTTTTTTTTTAAACCACTTGATTTTCAGGGTCTCATTATTAGTCACAGCATTTGCATCAGCACACCAAAGAAGCCATGCTTGTCTTCTCAGAGGATAAAGGTGACTCATTTCCCTCATTTCTATCTTTTGGAGGATATTCATAATCTCCCAAATAGGGAGAAATGACCTTAGGTGACCAATATGGTCCCAATGACTGTGTGAAGCTTTGAGTAGGGTTATGTCAGAAGCAACATATTTAAATTCTATGCAAGATCAAGAGGCCTGTTGTAAGCAATTACCATATACCTACCTCCTCACCTTGTAACATAATATTAGAACATTAAAGTTCAGAGTATGGATGAGAGTCTGCAGAATCACATGTGGGACACCCACTGGGAACGGATCTGCTCTGTGATGAACAGAGAAGCTACCAGTTGAGTTGGCCCCCAGTTTCAGTCTGATCGATACGAAAATGATCATACTCTTCAAACACCTAGAAAATCAGCTCTTCTGATCTTGCTACTAAAAGTTACTGATGTCAGCATGAATTTTTCCTTAGAAGGAAACTCACATGCCTTCCTCACCCATCACTCCTGCCATTAGTCAGAGAGACCCAAAGAGTAAGGGGCAGAAATAACCTCACAATCAGTGTTAGGTGCTCTTGTTGGTGACCTTGGGCCATGCCATATACCCCTGAACTTCAGTTCCTTTTTGGCCTCTTCTGGCTTTACTTAATGTTCTATGAGCCTTGAGGTCAACATAATTCTGATACACTGACTGGTAAGCCACAAGTCGAGTGAGACCAACCAGAATGTCACCATGTGCATGAAGCATTTTGCTTAGATTTTCTGGGCTTTGATATCTCAACTACAGGGCCTGCTGAAGCCTGAAAACAGGGCCAGATTGTGGAATTTGTCTATGATCTCTCTCCCTGGTCTTTTACTGCATAACACTGCTGGTCACATGGTGTTATCCACTTTCTTTCTCCACCAATTAATTGTCACCATTATTGCTAATGATATAGGATCAACACTATAGTAAGCATCCCTGTGCAAGTGACATGTAATTTAGAGAAAGTTGATCCACTGTTTAAAAAGCACCTTACAGTCCTGCCAGTATGACTATAATAGAATGAAGAGGAATGAGCCTTGAAATGCAGGTCAGGACACTTGAGTTCTATTCCAGCCCTGCTGCTTATTGTCTGTGGGACCGTGGACAATCACTTCCTTTGTCTGGGCCTCAGTTTGCAAAGCTGCAGAATTAATAGGGTGGGCCCAATGCTTTAAAGGTTCTCTGCTCTGTCAATGCCACATCACAGCCTTTTCACAGTGCCCTCAAGGCCTTTCTGTTGAACCTATTTCTTATTGTTTTTGAAGCTCCACTTGGGAGTGTTGTCAGTAACCATTTATCCTGTCAAGTGGGAATCATGCTGGGTGGCTTGCTTGCATCTACCGGACTCATCCTGAGCTCATTTGCCACGAGTCTGAAACATCTCTACCTCACTCTGGGAGTTCTTACAGGTAAGGGCACCTGGTACCACCTGTCTCACGCCACTCCATCCAGGGGGTTCCAAGCACATCAACAGAGAAGTAACTCATAAAATATTCGTTTTGTTAGATGTATAATTTAGTTGACCTAGCTTATGTTTACCTACCTAGCAGTTAAACAGAGCTGGAAATGAGATTATATTACCCTAATGAAAATGCATCTCCACTTTAATTCAGCCAGATGGCAAAAGCAACTGCAGCTTTCTCTTCGGAATTAGTGTATGGCTGAGATTCTGTACTCAGAAGAAACAAGATATTACCCAGGGCAACGTGAATTTTCAGCAATGGTCATTCTTCCAACCATTGCCAAGACATTAAAATACTATTGACAGTCAATCTGAGTTGCTCCTGCTTTGTAATGAATATTGCTGTCCAATAAATGGGAGTTTCTAATTTTAAAAAAGCCCTTTATTGTGAATATTCTTATATTATGCATTCTTTCTCAATGCTATAACTTTAGCAAATTATAATAAATCCCACGGGTAAAAAACAATATGTACAGTCAATAAATCACACTTACAGAGACGGCGTAGGATCAAGATGAGTTGGCTGTGGGACTGCAGTAGGAGTTTGCCCATCACTCAGAGGGGTGTGGAGAGTAGCGCCAACTCCTGTCTGGGCATTGTGCCATTGGTGTGGCGTGAATAAGGTCAATAAAGGATGTAACCTCATAGTGAGGCTATAAATTTGGCTGTGTTAGCTAAAGAAGGTACATCCACCCCTAATAACCCAAAGAACCTGACTGCTGCTATGGTGACCAGTGGATCCCAGTTTACCAGGCACTGTCCTGGTTTTAACACTGAAAGTCCCACATCCAGAAACCCCTGAGTCCAGGCAACTCTGGGTTGCTGGCTACCCTACACTGCAGATGAAAGCAGGAGCTTCAGAAGGTGATTCTCTTTTTCCTTCTCTGACATTCTAGTTGCCATAAAATCTAGGCTCAAAGCCCCTCAGATTTTCTTTACTTAAGAAGTCATAGAAGTGGATCTTTTTTTTTTTTTTTTTGAGACAGGATCTATCTGACTCTGTCCTCAGGCTGGAGTGCAGTGGCACAATCTCAGCTGCAACCTCTGTCTCCTGGGCTCAAGCCATCCTCCCCCTTCAGCCTCCTGAGTAGCTGAGACTACAGGTGCATGCCACCACACCTGGCTAATTTTTTTTTTTTTCCAGAGATGGGGTTTTGCCATATTGCCCAGGCTAGTCTCAAACTCCTGAGCTCAAGTGGTCTGCCTGCCTCAGCCTCCCACAGCGCTGGGATTACAGGCATAAGCCACTGCACCCAGCCCAAAAGTTGAAGGTCTCTAGAAAGCTTTCTCTAGAGCGTCAACATTTGTCTCCTGACCTTAAGAGATGTTTTCACATATGTGAAAATATACATTGCTATGTTCACATATAAAACTGGCATAATGTTTCCCAACTATGTAAAATTACCCTGGAATTTTCATAGTTGTATATGCTATTTGAATCCAAATTCCAGCGTGGTACAGATTATCAGTGTTGTGTCTTCATAGGCCGTGAAGAGTTGAGGCAATTGTCTGGATTATTTAAGTTAAAAAATGGAGGAGGTGATGAGTTTCTTTGGTTGACATTATCCAGATTTTCTAGTGAATTCCAATGTAGTTCATATAATGCTTTTTATGTTCTTCATTTAACTTTGTTTATGAAGTCACATTTCCTTAAGGGTGTTCTCCCTAAGAAGAAAGTCATGTATATTCTACATTTGCCAAATTGTGAATGACTGGTGAGGGGAGACTCATTTTAAGTTTGGTGTAAAAAGCAGCTTTAAAAGCGTTTAATGAGAGGTCAGATTCTCTTTAATATGAATCATTGTATTCTGAGATATCGTTGGCTGTTTATGGTACATCAGCACTCATAGAGTTCTCTTTATCCTCAGGTCTGGGATTTGCACTTTGTTACTCTCCAGCTATTGCCATGGTTGGCAAGTACTTCAGCAGACGGAAAGCCCTTGCTTACGGTATTGCCATGTCAGGAAGTGGCATTGGCACCTTCATCCTGGCTCCTGTGGTTCAGCTCCTTATTGAACAGTTTTCCTGGCGGGGAGCCTTACTCATTCTTGGGGGCTTTGTCTTGAATCTCTGTGTTTGTGGTGCCTTGATGAGGCCAATTACTCTTAAAGAGGATCACACAACTCCAGAGCAGAACCATGTCTGTAGAACTCAGAAAGAAGACTTTAAGCGGGTGTCTCCCTATTCATCTTTGACCAAAGAATGGGCACAGACTTGCCTCTGTTGCTGTTTGCAGCAAGAGTACAGTTTTTTACTGATGTCAGACTTTGTTGTGTTAGCCATCTCCGTTCTGTTTATGGCTTATGGCTGCAGCCCTCTCTTTGTGTACTTGGTGCCTTATGCTTTGAGTGTTGGAGTGAGTCATCAGCAAGCTGCTTTTCTTATGTCCATACTTGGAGTGATTGACATTATTGGCAATATTACATTTGGATGGCTGACCGACAGAAGGTAAAATTCATGAAACTACAATTGGTTCCCTACCAGGGGACTTTAAGCCTTGAGTTTCTCCTCAGCTCCTTACCCTGTAGAATACCTAGGTCTGAATAATGTTAATAAGTCTGCAGTATCTGAAGGCATCTCCCTTGCTGGTTCTTCTAGATCAGAGGTTGGCAAAATTTTCTGTAAAGGGACAGATAGTAAACATTTTTGGCTTTGTAGGCCAAGTGTTCTTCATCACAGCTATCCAACTCTGCTATTATAGTACAAAACAGCCACAGACAATATGTAAACAAAAGAGAGTGGCTATGTTCCAATAAGACTTTATGCAAACTGAAATGTGAATTTCTCTTATAATTTTCATGTGTCACAAAATATTGTTCTTTTGATTTTTTCCAACCATTTTTAAACGGAAAAACCATTCTTAGTTCACAGGTAGTACAAAAAGAGGTCGTGGGCCAGATGTGTCTAAATTGCAGAAGCCTAGGGTAACTACAGGTTCTGGTGGTAGATTTAAGATTTAATTCCATCCTAAGATGAGTCAGTCCTCAAGCAAGGCAACTTCTGGCTGGGTGTGGTGGTGTTAGTTTATTTTGAACCACTCCTGACTGGCAATGGAAAAAGGAGCAGAATCCAATTCAGGCAGGAGGGCCAGGTGCAATGATAACACATTATCTGTAGCCACATATTTATGTTTGACAATGCAAATTGCAAATAATTTCCTTGTAATTGTAGGCTTAGAAACCAAAGTTATAAGAAATCTACGAAGTAATTTCTTCAGCAAATGCTCATCTGTTTGGACTGAAGAATGCATATTCTCCTAAATGGTGAACCATTCACACTTGAGAGGTGACTTGCAGAGCTAATACCATCATGTAGCTTCTCACAAATTATGTTTTTGGCAATTAATCAGGATCCAACTGCCATTCTCCAGTGTTATGAATATGATATTTAGTATTAATTGGACATTTGTAATGGTTAAAGAAGAAGGAGAAGAGCAAAGAGTACCTATTTTCACAATCAAATAACTCAGCAAGAAGCAGCCAGGTGTAGGTCTAATGGAGGCATCTCTAGTCTGAGGCATACTAGACCTAAGTTCTTGCACTGACTCTGCTCCTTATTAACCCTGTAACCTACAGAAAGTCACCTAATCTTCAGATCCACATTGATCTCTCTCTGTAAAATGAGCCAATGCAATATTTGCCTGTTGACCTTATTACTATTTTGTGAGGTTCAAATGAGGCTGTGAGTAGAAAAATGTTTGTAAAGCATAAGCTGTTGGAGCTGACATTATACAGAGTCTTTGAAATAATTCATATCATAGATGGGTTTGGAGTTATCAGGAAAATTAATGGGAATACCACTAAGACTTTGTCCTAGTCCAAGACCTCCATCATCTCTGGCAAACCATTTTAATGTCTTTGTATTACAGTTTCCCCTTTGTGTAACCACTTGGGTTATTGCGTATTTATATACCAATGGATAACATATCTAAAAGCATCTAATAAGGTAGACTGCTAGGAAAATTACCCTCCTGACCCTTTACGTCAAGCTTGTCCAACCTGCAGCCCATGGGCTGCCTGCGGCCTGGGATGGCTTTGAATGTGGTCCAATACAAATTTGTAAACTTTCTTACAACATTTTGAGATTTATGCACACACTCTTTCTTTCTTTCTTTCTCTTTTTCTTTCTTTCTTTCTTTCTTTCTTTCTTTCTTTCTTTCTTTCTTTTTCTTTCTTTCTTTCTTTCTTTCTTCCTTTCTTTCTTTTCTTCCTTCCTTCCTTCCTTTCTTTCCTTTCCTTTCCTCTTTCCTTTCTTTCTTTTTTTTTCATCAGCTATCATTAGTGTTAGTTTATTTTATGTGTGGCCCAAGACAATTATTCTTCTTCCAATGTGGCCCAGGGAAGTCAAAAGATTGGAGACCCCTGCTCTACATTTTATTTCACGACTACTTTCAGAGTAACCCTGTGAGATAAGTAACCTTTCCATTTTATAGCTAAAGAAATTGAGTTAGGCAGGCAGTGGGTGGCAGAAATACTTTTAATATTCTACCTTTCTAATTTTGAAGCATATATTCTTTCTACCGCACCATGCTTACTGGGGAGATGAATTCTTGCATTTGCAAAAAGGAAAGATAGGAAGACAACATAGATAACACACAATGGGAAAGCCATCTCTGTAAATAACTGCAGTGCTTACTGCTACATAGCCGTGGCTCTAAAGCTCTTTTACAGAATGTGTACATCCTGCACTCATTCTTGTTCTTCATATCAACAGGTGTCTGAAGAATTACCAGTACGTTTGCTACCTCTTTGCTGTGGGAATGGATGGACTCTGCTATCTCTGCCTTCCAATGCTTCAAAGTCTCCCTCTGCTCGTGCCTTTCTCTTGTACCTTTGGCTACTTTGATGGTGCCTACGTGACTTTGATCCCAGTAGTGACCACAGAGATAGTGGGGACCACCTCTTTGTCATCAGCGCTTGGTGTGGTATATTTCCTTCACGCAGTGCCATACTTGGTGAGCCCACCCATCGCAGGTAAGTTTCCAGAGAGAAACCCCAACCACCTTTTCTCTTTGGCATATTGATGTGAAAACAGCAAACTCACATGCAGTCAATGAGAAGAATTGTCAAGAGAGTTGGGGAAGAGTGAAAGAGAAAAGGAACATATGAGCCCTCAAAACTATCTTGGTCCCACCTACATCCTTGTTTTATAATCTTCTTCCAACCAAGTAAGAATCTTAGCCTACCTGGAAAGAGTAAGTCCCAAATTAGGGTCTTGATTGCTTTCCATATTAATGATGGGAGCAGGGGGATGGAGCAGTTGTTTAGCTTTATAAATAAGTAGGGTGCATTCAGAGGGAAGTCTCAGGGGAGAACAGGATTCCAACAGGGGGCAGTGGGTGATGAGGCTGAAATTATAAATGCCAGTGTCATAGTGGAGTGTTTTGGGTGCCTGACAAAGGAACTGGGCTCTATTCTTCAGAGACTATGGATAGTATTAAAGTCTTTATGTAAAAGGATAATATGGTAAAGTGTATATGTTAGAAAATGTGATCTAGCAATTGATCTAGTAACTTAAGAGAGAGGTAGCTAAGATTCCATTCTAATGGTTTAGGAGGCAGCTGATAAAGGCCTAGCTAGGGCTGCTGCAGCAGAAATAAAGATGAGCTCTGGGGGCAAGGAGGAAGTTTTCAAAACAAAATTCAGCAGAATTTAGCATACAGAGGTGAATGAGAGATATAAGTCAAGGATGACTTAGAAAATAATGTCATGGTTGAGAAAATAAAGAAATTAGAGAAAGTGGCTTTGCCTGAAAAATAATGAATATGGTTTTTAGATATGTTGAGATTTCTGAAATATACAGGTAGAAATGCTCAATAGAGCTGTTTAAAGATGAAATATGAGCTTTAATGGATGGCCTGATTTATATATAGATTTGGGAGTCATCATATAAAGCACCCAGAATGTTTTATAAACTCTAAAATGCTATAGAGTAAAGCATGATTAAACAAATAATTTGACAAATATTTATTGTATGCATTAAAGAAGTAATTCAACAAGTATATATTGTGTGTGTAACTAGCATTGTGTTTATCATGCTGGAGAGACCGGAGTAAACAGGTTGGAACTTGTTTCTCCTTCCTAAAGCATGTGGTCTTACACCACCTGCATCAGAGTCTCCTAGGGACCTTATTAAAAATGCAGATTCCTTGACACTCCCACCTAGATCTGAATGTTGAGGATGAGTTCCAGAAATCTATATTTTCAACCAGCTTTGTTGTGATGCTCATGCATGGTAAATATTGAGAATTACTGTTCCATATTATTATCTGCCTAAATTAAAACTGAGAGAGTGAACAAGGTCTCTGAAGACAGGCAAAAGAGAAATAACCCAAAACTTTGCCTAGAAAGAAGGCAGGAATTTTTTTGAGGAAGACACGGTTTCTGCTATTAGCTATTATTGTAAATAGACAGTTTCAGGCTATTTCCAAATCCAGCAATTGGGGTGGAATAAAAACAGCAAACTAGGGGAAATTGTGGCCGCTTCAGTGGTGCAGATGAAAAAATCCTGTTCAGTTTAAACTCCATGGTGATCTTTATGTTTAATGCTCCATTTTTGAAAACTGCCCCCAAAATGTTCCCACATCCTCCCTCCATAGCCTATTTTAGTGCTCACCAACCTTTAGAAACAGTGTCATCCTATCAAAGGTCACAGGACACAAATGAAATTGGGATTCATGAATCTTTTTTTCAGTTCGTGGCCTTCATTGGCAAATCAGACACGATACTCATTACTGGGAATTCGAGGATTAATTCTTATTGTATCATTTTCTTACTTATTTACCTTTCAAATAACAACTCTCTACTCGATCTTTTTTGTTTGATGCTATAGAAATGCACAAGTAAATCAAACAATAACTAAAATATCTGAGAGCAGTTTAAATTCAGGAAATTTTGTGGGACTTATAACAACTTCTACATGCCATTTTCAACTAATGGATTTGAAGTGGGTAAAGAAGAAATCATATACTTCTTTGATGGGTTTTCTTGGCAGATCAGAAAGTTTGAAGGAATTTTAAAAAACCTTGGTTAATTATAAAATAATTGCCTGATGAAGTATAATGTTACCCCACTGGTTTTCTGTCATCGTGGCCCCTATTTTGCATATCATATGCCCGGTTTTCCTCAAAATGTAGAGCTGAGATAGATATTGAGATTAATTTGTTGCAACAAGAGATAAAGAAAAAAAAGCTAGTTTGCATTTGCGAATTCTAAAATGGCCCAAAGTTCTGATTTTTCAAACTGGATAGAGTATAATGACTGAATCCAATTGAAAATGTGATACTGCTTTGAAGCATCATGTTACTCAAAATAGTGTATGGGTGCTGTGACTACTACTAGCATTTTTTACAAATATGTTCTTTTAACACCCTAGGTGAATTATTCCAACTTGAATAATTTAAATGATGCTATTTTTATCTTTTTACCAGATTTCACGGGGTTAATAACTAATATTTACGTTGTGACTACTAAGTACATGATGCTCTTCCAAGCACTTCACATAACAACGATCAATTCACTCTAGAAGTTTTCCTGGAAAACAGAATGTGTTTTTCAGTTGCTGCACAAAATTACAATTGGTGGTGCTGTTGGTCTATTATTAACCTTACAAAGTATTAGAATTTGAGAGTGGGTAAGCAATTGAATTTTCAACTTAACAATATCATTTTGCTGTTGTTTGTTACAGGATGGCTGGTAGATACCACTGGCAGCTACACTGCAGCATTCCTCCTCTGTGGATTTTCAATGATATTTAGTTCTGTTTTGCTTGGCTTTGGTAGACTTGTAAAGAGAATGAGAAAAACCCAGATGCAGTTCATTGCCAAAGAATCCGATCCCAAGCTGCAGCTATGGACCAATGGATCAGTGGCTTATTCTGTGGAGAGAGAATTAGATCAGAAACATGGGGAGCCTGTGGCTACAGCAGTGCCTGGCTACAGCCTCACATGACCAATGGCCTTGAGCCCCAGAATCTTCAGATTTGAGAGAGGTGTGGGGCCAGCAGGTTCTTCGTGTTTCTGAAACTTTTTATTTTGGCAGAAGTATTGCCTTCCAAGGAAACTATTATTATTGTTTTGTTAACATATTAATATTTATAAGGGAAAATAGCACATAATAAAGAAAGCTGGACTAGCCCAGAGGCTTCTCATTTGGGATTTGTACTCATAACTGAACTCATATCTTTTGGTCAATGGGCATAGCTCTATGAGAAATGTAAGGACACAGCTGATATAATTAGCTGTAATTAGGGATAATTTCAACGCATAACCAAAGCAGATGACACTGGGCAGCAGCTTTGTCCCTGTCTCAGTCCCTTCATGTTCCCTCCTCAGAAAGAAAATGGAAACATTAACGTGTAGCTTTGCTAACCTTGTTCTGGTTAGAGAAAGGAGGTCAGCTTGGGTGTGGTGGTGAAGAGTGAAGATGCCATCCCTTTTTCATGGTGGAGTTTCTCATTAGGGTTTTACCTGGGGTTGTTAAAAGAATACTTGAGATTCTTCAAAAGGTGGTGATTAATATAGAAAGAAACTCTTATTTTTTTCTCTCTTAGTCTTGCAGCCAGCCCTTGCCTCTGCCCAAGGGTAGACACCACTATGAGAATCCAAATAATCATGGAGTGCCATGGTTGGAATAGATCTCAAAGGGTGGCTGGTAAGATCTATTTGAAATTGTCCACTGGAAACTGAAAGCTCTTTTCCTAAGACTGGGTTCCAGGCTCTCACCTTTGTTACCATCACATATAATACTTACTCTAAATTTAGCAGAACACACTTAGTCACAAGGACAACCTCTCAGTCTTACCTGAAATGTTAACACCAAAACGTCTCATTTTTTACCTTCAGAGAAAAAGCTCTTATTTAAACTGCAGACGCATTCCTGTTAGGATGAAAAAATGTTGGCAGTATTCCAGTTGGGCAGGAACTGAATTCTTGAATCAGCAGGTCTCTGGTGAGAGTTTTCTTTGCAGATCAGACATTTAGTTTTATCATTACCCAAAAGAGGATAGGAGGGGGTCAGTTATCTGAACAAATATTATGCTAGAGATATTCTGAAGGTGAGATTCCTTTCTCCTTGTGTTAATTCTTGTTCCACTGTCCACTGCTCTCCATCTCTTTGTGGATAATAATTAGAAATCTACTCATTGGATTAGAAGTTGATTTATTCTCAAATACTCCACTTTTCTATGGTTTGGGATAATTTCTGAGTCTTCAGATTGAAGAGGGAAGGCATGGAGGGAAGAAAAAGTCCAGATCCCCCAGCTTGTCTCCAACCATTTTAAATTCAAAGGATTATAATCCTGAATCTCACATCATGTCACACCTGTAAATAGGGGCAAATTATGCAATCAATTTTAATTATCAGGAGTTTAAAATCCAAATATTAAGGAACTGTTTTGACCCTGAAGGCTATTTAATCCACTGTCCCCTACAAGGCCTCACAAGTGCTGAGGGAAAAAAAAAAAAAAACCAACCAGCAGTGAGGAGAATCCTGGGTTACTGTGTATGCTCAGCAAGAGAGTTTGCCTATACCTTGGTTATTTCATAAAATCACATGTTAATACATTACTTTCAGAATGAAATACTGACTTGATTTGATAGGAGAAAATGGTAATATTTCATGTTGTTTTCCAAAGAGAAATGTAAATGTTATCTGTTATCTCCTTACATAGTTTAATAATTTAGTTTTGAAGCCCACACTGGACTGAAAAGAATTTACTTTTCATTGACTTTGTTATTTGCAATTTTAAAAATATTTGGAGCTGGGCATGGTGGCTTACGCCTGTAATCCCAGCACTTTGGGAGGCTAAGGCGGGCGGATCATGAGGTCAGGAGATCGAGACCATCCTGGCTAACATCGTGAAACCCCGTCTCCACTAAAAATGCAAAAAATTACTTGGGCATGATGGTGGGCGCCTGTAGTCCCAGCTACTCGGGAGGCTGAGGCCAGAGAATCACTTGAACCTGGGAGGCGGAGGTTACAGTGAGCCAAAATCATGCCACTGTACTCCAGCCTGGGCAACAGAGAGAGACTCCATCTCAAAAAAAAAATATATATATATATATGTGTGTGTGTGTGTGTGTGTATATATATATATTTATATTTGAAAGATATCTGTAAAACGTCAAAGTTAAAACGACGTTATATCTGTTTGGAATAGCACTTTGCCCTAAATATCATTTTTTGAATTTCAAGCCTAAAGATTTTAAAAAATATGAATAGTTACAAATATTCTTATACATATTTTTTCATCGTGATCACAACAAAATTTTGTTTATGTGGTTCTGCAATATAATTTCTGTGCAGTATTGTAAGTATGCAAAATGAGCATAGTGATCAGAACTTTTAAAGATTTTGTGTAAAAACATTTGGGAGATTTGACTTTATACGTGCATAGATTTGCATTTTACTTTCCCTTTTGAAGCAGCATTTTTAGAAAATTCGTAAGAAAAATGTACATCTTAAGGTCTACTATTTTACATTTCTACACAGAATTTTGGTGTTAATGTTCCATGTGTCTATACTGTTTATTTCAAAACAGAAATTCATGAGAATGATGTATTTTGTGGAATCAAGAACAAAATTATAGTGGGATAATTTTACATCTTAACTATTTGTTTCTACTACTGTAAGCTCTACTTTGGGATTATCTGAGTAGAAAATCAGAAGACATTATCTAACTTTATAGATACACTGTATGATTGGGCTCTTTGTTCAGATTGTAATTTCATTAATAGATGAAATATTTATGCTAATATTTTCTTATTTCAAAAGCAAAATAAAATGAGTTTATTGTCCTGTGTTTGGAAAGACATTTTTCCCTTGGACAAGAGGTTTGGATTGGATGGTGAGTGGGCCTGTCTGGATCATGGTACGATGTGGTCAGCATTTTAAGATGTGTTAAGTAATCAAATGATTTACAAAAACCAAAAGTCTTTATTGAGTTTTTCCAACGTGTGAGCTGTTATGCCAGCTACTTCCTATGCATTGTCTCATTTAATCCCCATAGTAACTTCTATCATTATTGTTTTGGAGATGTGGAAAATGAAGCACCAGTTCCCACAGCTCAGTATCCACTGCACTCCTCTAGTGTGAAATCCTGTAAAACTGGGATGCTGCTGATTCTGAAGCCCTGTGTCCTTCCCCTGTGCCTACTTGAATCATCTTATGCGCGTTCAAGAAGCTGTTGGGAAACAGATGCTCCCTTGGACAGATAAAATCCTTTGGATTATGCTTCAATCGTCTAATCAATATTAAAGGAAGATTCTAGATTGGAGATTTCCAAGAGTTTTCCCAAGAGGATCTCTCAAAACCACTACTTCCAGGCTCAGTGGTTTAATTTGGTGTCGATTGATCCAGGCTTCTTTTGGGGAGCATTTAGGGTTGAGGGGGTGAATTGGGGAGCATACTTTGTCCCAAAAGTGAGCTAGTTCCACTGTTTGCCTCCCACATTACCAAAGTCAGGCTTTCTCAGGAGTTGAGTTCTTCCTGAAGTGCCTTCACCATTGCCAGTGATAATGAAAATGGTAATGTCTGTTAGGCACTCCCCTTCCTGGTCCCAGTAGGTCTAATTCTGAAACTGTTTACTGAAATGAAATAGTACAAATTCGGCTGGGTGCAGTGGCTCACGCCTGTAATCCCAACACTTTGGGAGGCCAAGGCGGGTGGATCACCAGGTCAGGAGATCGAGACCATCCTGGCTAACACGGTGAAACTCCATCTCTACTAAAAATACAAAAAATTAGCTGGGCGTGGTGGTGGGCGCATGTAGTTTCAGATACTCGGGAGGCTGAGGCAGGAGAATGGCGTGAACCCGGGAGGCAGAGCTTGCAGTGAGCCGAGATTGGCCACTGCACTCCAGCCTGGGCGACAGAGTGAGACTCCGTCTCAAAAAAAAAAAAAAAAAGAGAAAAGAAAAAAAGAAATAGTACAAATTCGGGGTAGATATCTGAGTTTCTTTCCTCACACTTGAAAGTTTGAGTTAAAAAAATGTTTTTTAAAAAACATTTTAAAAAACGTAAAAAAAGTTTTAACTCTGTCAAAGAATAGATTTTCATATCTGTTACCAGCACAGCTACCAATGACAGATGACTGAGGTTTTGTCCCATAGCACAGAAAACTATTTGGTTGGGGGAGTGGGACGATACTAAATAATGATAAAAGGACTGACATTTAAGATAAGATGTTATGGTACTTTTCAAACATATACAAAAGTAGAATGAATAGTGTAAAGAACTTGAGGTACCTATTCCCCTACATCTACAATTATCTACCCATTATCCTCTCCCTTAATGAAGCAATTTGAAATATATTCACATGTGCACAGCTCATGTTTCCTTCAGCTGCCAGGGAATACCTGAACTTGGCAAGAATAATTTGTTCATGCTAACGGGGACACGTGTGGTTAGTATCACCTATTAATGAGCCACATCATTACTTACAAAGCTGATTCGGGCCCTTTTCTTGCTATGGGCTTTGAGTATCAATTGAAGATTAAAATTTTCTCCTTCTCTCCCTAGCACCCTAAAGGGTCTATCTACCTGAGGCCCAGGGCTGTATTAAATAAGTTAAAAGGGCCTTTTTTTTTTCTTTTCTCTCTCTCTCGTGACCCAAGAGAGTCAAACCAATAAAAAGGGATTTGAGGTTTAGATGAGAGTGATCATTATTACTCTCATTATTGCTCTTAATTGTTTAAGGGTCAGAGGTCTTTTTGAGGGATCTGGGAACTAAGATTGGTCTAGAATTAAATAAAAAGTAGTTTATTTTTGAGGGTTGAGTTGGCATTAAAAGGCTTTAGAATTAGCATTTCAAATGTAGCCCTTTTCAAGTTTTTCCATAAATGTTTCTTTTGTGCTGACAAGTTAGACCTTTTCCCACTGACCAGTGTAATGATAGAAGAGTTCTCAAGGACCTTGTACTACGAAAGATGAAGACCTGTGCTCATTCTTGGATAGCTTATTTTTGCAACTGGGGGCAGAGCAAGGTGTGGGTATGGGTCAAGGTAGG